CCCAAAAAGATAATCCAGATCATCGCAATCTCTCCGAGAGTTGTTGAGACATTTCACTTGATACAACAAATGTCTACCTCGTGGTGCTAGAGGAAAAGTAAGGGGATCATCAAAGTTAGTAAGATTCATCCTCTGGGGACCAATGAATGTCTGTACCAAAATTTCACGGCAACAAATAGTGGTGGACACTTTGACTGACAGTGTCATCCCTAAGGCCACACCGCTAGCACCGCTCACACTGTGGTAAAATTAGCATAAAAGTCAAAGATGTGGAAAAGAAAAGTTCATTCACCACTTGGTTCTCCCTTCCAGCAACCTGCACTGAACCAGTGAAACAGAGACGCAGCAGAAAATGGAGGGATTTAGCTTTATCAGATCCACCTGCCAATCTGCCCTTTGATACCGCTGAGAGCAGGTACTGTGATCACACTAAGCTGTAGACTTTACTCAAAGACTTTAAGATCAGGCATCATTTTAACTTCAGTGGTTACTTGTAGAAGTCAGCACTACCTGAAAACTTTTCACTTAAGCTTGTTTTCTCTCTGCAGAGGCGGGTGGCTTTGAACAAGGAGACAGCTAAATGCAGAGAGGGACTAGATAGACATGAGGATAAATGAATACTGTGTGTATGTAGGAACACTCAGAGATAGAGTTGGCCCTGGGCTCTTTCTAAAACTGCACTTCAGCAATAAGGAATGGAACTGTCTAACCTAATGAGTAAAACACAGAAACCTTGCTTCTACATTTCATAAGCTACAATCAAATTTTAGTTTGAATTACAATACTGTGTGACAAAACAAACGGCAGCTAATTAACTGCCACATACACACAGACACATCTGCTAATCAATCACAAACACACTCACAAAGGCAGAACTTTCAACTTTTCAACGCGCATGAGTGTCTGAGTCATCGCTTTCTATTCTTTTCTCCTTGGGGAAACGCACCATCTTTCAAAGGAAAGTAGGCACCGGGCAGAGGTTTATGTCGTCAGGATGTAGAAAAAAGTGACAGGCTGAAATCTGAATCACTGCAATCATTAGGTAACGAGGCTAGTTTTACCCTGAAGCAATGAAACGTGGGCACATGTGATGCATTATAGATTAATATTTCCTGGTATTGGCTCAGCCTACCTTGGGAATGAATGAGAGAAAAGCTGGCTTGATTAGCTCAACTCTACAGCTACTGTTGCATTCACCGTCAGTTCATTGTATGCTTAGAGAAACTAAAATTATAAATATCAAAGCTATGGGATGCTATTATGGGAAGATACAGAAAGAATGACTATGTGTAATGTAATAATATACTCTCAGCTCTACAGGGCATTGTAGCGTGTTTTACAGCAATTTTCCTGTTTGGGTTCACCATCACTGCTCTCATTAGTGTCGTTTCTCAATGCAGCAGGCAATTTTCAGAAAAAAATTCAAATAAACCCAACGTAAACCACCTGCCCAGCACCAAAGACAAAGTGAGCGACTAGCTAAACTACGACTAGCCAGAAACAGAGTTGGAAGGAGAGGGAATATTATCCAAGGTGGGTTAAATCAAGGGCAACTGGCCTAATTGATGTTTCCCTTAAATTAACCCTCCTTGGATAACTATGACCTGGATGACTGAGAATCACAGACATGAGAGTAAAATTGAATTATAATCATTGAATTGAATTGAATTATCTTCATTAGGGTGGATACAAACACAATTTCAAATTAATGCTAATGTTGTTCCATATATTCTGGATGTGTAAATGAACAACAGTTTGTTGTAAGATGATAATATGTTGATGTTGTCAATGTTTTGGAGTTTGTTTGTGCTTCCTGTTTTATTTTGAAGTTGTTCTGTCTCGTGTCCTTGTCTTACTTCGCTTCCTTCCGGTCTTGTTTGTTTGCACCTGCCCTAATGTGTTTCACCTGTGTCCCGTTATCTCCACCCTTCTTGTGTATTTAGGACCCTGTCCACACATACACAGGTATTTTCAAAACCGTAACTTTTTGTATGCGGTTTGTCCGTTCATCCACACGGAAACGCAGTCACTGAAACCGAATCTTTTTGAAAACTCCTGCCAAGGTGAAGATTTTTAGAAACTCCGGTTGCAGTGTTTAGCCAGTGAAACCGGAGTTTTTGTCTTGCGACGTCAGAGTGCGCGCCGTTCCGCTTTGTTTACAATTTTATTAGGCTTCTGACTGACCAACGTGACTTTCCGGTTAAGGTTATATCGCCGCCTATTGACTTGACAGTGCTTGATGTGGTGTTTTTGCGTTTTCATGTAGACAGACATTTGTTTTAAACCGTGCATGCGTGGATGGGATTTGTTTTCAAAAAACAAAGGAGGAAAGACTCGTACTAAAAATACCCATGTACGTGTGGACTAAGTCTTTGTCTCTTTGTTCATACCACTCTACATTTTAACCCTCAGCACTGTTCCATGTGTTTCCCAGAGTTTATGGAGTTTCTACAGGGTTGAATGATCATCTATGCTATTCTGGATTTATGTTGCCATGTTTTGGACTGCCTGCTTCATCTAACTTCTAAAGTTCCACAGTGTTTGTCAAACTCTCCAAACTGCATCTGCTGTGCCTGTTGTTCCAAATCCAGTTTTTCTGTGTTAGTGCTGAGCTAAACGTAATATAATGAACTGGCCAATACTGGACCCAATAATGGTGTTTGATGTCTCCTAGCGAGAGAGCGCTAGCACCTCCAGTCGAGCCACAGATATCACGCTGACGTGGCAATAAACAGAAAGATGACCAAAAAGAAAACTGAGGAGTGTTAAAAACCACAGCATCCACCAGAAAATGTATGTACTGATTGTGGATCATACGTTTTTAAGTGTACGCATTTACTTTGTGAATGTTCAGTTAAAAAGATTTTAAATTTACTTACTTGAAAAAGAAAAAAAGAAAAAATGTTTGTCTCAACATTGATAATGTTGACTTTTTAATAATTTTTTTTAATCCATACTGGAATCGAAACTGGCAATAAATAAGAACCAGAATCAATAAGCAGAACTGTAATCGACAGAATTCAAATGTACCTAACCCTAATTAGCATTAAGGTATCTTTATGTTTGCACTTAAAGGCTCGTGCAGACTGCACGACTTTCAGCGTTGGCAGATTGATGTGCTGTTCACACTACACAACTTGCCGTCTTGTGACGGGAGTCTTGAAGTTGTTGTGGCGTTCACACTACGTGACTGATCGGTGACAGGGGGTCACACACTACACGAGCTGACAGCAGCTGTGTCAACCGACGCTGGTCTCCAAACCACGTTTTGTCAAGAAAACACGTGTGAAATGTGAAACGGGAAATGACGCGAGCCTACACGCCAAACAGCTGTTGTTTGTTATTATAAAGATAGCAATTATAAAGACAAAGACTCTGGGTGAAAGAATGGATTAGCACACGCAGGTAGCAGGGATCGTCTGAGCTACAGAGAGAGCTGGAGGGGAGTAAAAAGAGTTTTGCAGTGAAAAAATAGCTGCCTAATCTCATTGGCTGGATGTGGATGTCGATTCCAGATATTTAGCATGCTAGATATCTGGCAGACGTCGGCGATGTGGCAGTGATGATATCGGCCTAAAAATCGTGTAGTGTGAACTAGTGAACGAACGAACTGGGAACAGACAGTAGATCTGTGGGGGCTGATGGCCGAAATATTTTCCGGATAATTAAACTAATATGAATTAGATCAGATGATGCTGTAGCCTGATATGTTGGAGATTGGATGTCTGTGTGTCCATCATAATTAAATCAGTTACATGATGAATGAGTTGAGCTGTGCGTGAACTTAAGTGCTGGTACCGCAGTAATGATGCCAGACTGGGTAGTAACTGTACCAGGGGCAGAGTGGCAAAAGAAAATGAGAGACATCTGTATATAAATCACAGAGACATATGGTAAAACTAAGTTTAAAATGAAGAAAATAAAGCTAAGAAGCCTGCTCAATGAAACTAGGTGAAACTGAAGTGGGACCAACTAGCTGCTGTTACACAAATGTGGAGGAAGTAGGAAAAAACTGAGGGTAGAAGTCTTACACACCCACACACACATTTAATGTATGTGTGTGCAGTTGTAATTGTCTGTTTACATGAGAAACTCTTGTATAGGAAATGCCACCAGTGCTCCCCCTTTTCCCTTGTCGTGCCCTGCTGCACAACCCAGAAGTATTTTCCAGTTCTTCTGCTGTAAACCTTATAACAATCGTACAACTTCTGAATCTTCCAGGGACAAAAATGGGATTCAATCCTATAAAAATCTGGAAATGAACAATACCTCTCATTTCAACATGACCAGGGTTTAGTACATTGTTAACACAGACTATAAGCAAACATTTGAAAAAATTCAAAGGGAGGAGCATAGGCAGTATACAGTGGGTGTTTCAGCAGGCATGGGTTAGGCTGAGCAGAGACAAAATCTATTGTTTTCCTTTCTAGATAAGACTAAAAGACATATTTAAGAAGGAGTACAGGTAATGAATCCCTGAATGTTTCCAAAACTGCTTTTACTGGCAGGAAAAGGAACCTTTCCAATTAATCTTAATATCTAAATGCATCTTTTAAGTACACCCACATTTCAATCTTGGCAGTAAATGAGGTCCTGAACATCATCTCTCAGAAATCACGTGTGCTCGGTAGAGGCACATCCAGCTCCATGTCTGTAAGAGCCTCCTCCCTGCATGAAGCAGAGCTGTGTGGCCTCCTGTTCTTAAAATGCCAGCACTGTTTTTCCTAGTTTAAAAGAGTTTGTTATGGATACAGCGGCAGTACTGGTAATATAACAGGGTTTAACAATCACTGCCTTGACTAATGTTACAGTTAGTGTGTGCACGAGTTTAAACATGTCTATGTGTCTCCTGATTCATCTCAATTCAGAAGTGACTGCCTCACAGTCAACCCTTGAGGCTACCATGTGATAGAGACTTCCTGTAAGAGTTCTTTTGTTAATATGTTGTATTTGTCTACAAAGACAACATTATGTGTCCATCTGTCCCCAGGCACACTCACCTGAACAATCTCCAGCATCTCAGCTTTACTGATGTACCCATTTCCATCCAGGTCGTACATACTGAAGGCCCATTTCAGCTTCTGCTCCAGTTTGCCACGTGACGTCACACTTAGTGCAATGATAAACTCCCGGAAGTCTATTGTCCCATCGCCGTTAGCATCAAATGTGCGAAAGACATGCTCTGCGAACTTTGAAGCGTCTCCGTAGGGGAAGAAGTTACCGTAGATCTTCTTGAACTCCTCCATGGAGAGGTTCCCGCTGGGGCAGTCTCTCAGGAAGCCCTTGTACCACTCCTGGATCTCGTGCTCGGTGAAGTCTGTGCTCTCCAGGAGGTCCTGCATCACCTCGGGGCGGAGCTTGCTGTTCTGCTTCCCCATGTCTGTCGGTCCTGTCAATCACTCGGCTCACAGCTGGCAGAGAGAGAGAGAGAGAGAGAGAGAGAGAGAGAGAGAGAGAGGTGAGACGGTTTGGTTTTAGGGTGGGATCAACATCAACAGACAAAGTGCAACATATAGTGGTCTATTGATTTCTAGGGTCCCAGCTGAAGGACAAAGATGAAAAGAAGAAAAACTGTTCATCGCACCAGGGGTACCAACGTTACTTGTGTGAGGGGGATGATGTGCTTTTAACTCGTGCTGCCCATCGATGGTCTATAACACACTTAGTTCAATTCTCACAACCTGGAAGAGCTAACTTTGTATGCAGCTACCAACTGCTGTTTCTCACTGCTAGCTACATAATAGATGACCATTATGAGGCAGTAAAAAAAGTTTCAGAGTGAGTGTTGGATATAAATTTACCTCTAAACAGTAACTTTACTAGTTTCCAGCCAGTTGCTCCATTTACTGTATAAACTATTCTGACAGTGCAGACCTGTTTTCTACCCCCTGCTGCTCATTTTACTGGTGTAATGCTGCCCAACACAAACAACTGGTAAATTCAAATACTTTGATTTATTTTTACCCATTTTTTAAAAAAATAACTGTTTCTGCATATGAGAAAGCCTTTTTTCAAAGGTTAGAACTCATTACTAGGGGTCGTACCGCTGGTCCTTTGAAAAACACGTTTAGTGTTACATACTGTAAGTATACAGTATATAATATGCCTACTGAATTCTACTTTACTTTGAAAGTGGAGCAGAGCAATTGGTTCCACCGCGGGGTGACGGTTTTGAGGCCTGAATCCTGTGTATGCATTAGCTAAATAACCACTAAACTAAGCCAAGGGACACAGCTGCTGTGTGTGGCAGTAGCTTTAACGAGGTATTAACAAAAAAATGTAAGCAAACCTTCTTTTCAGATGTTATCAGGACTGAATTCACTCTCTTTTTACAAACTACTGGAACTTTCCGTGGAAAACAGCACAGTGTACTCTGAGTACACACAGCGCCATATGCCCAATATGGGTTTAATTAGTCTATAAAATCTCTAAACACACTAAACTTAGCTGTCCTGGAAGGAAAAGGTGGAGCAATCAAATTATATTTAAGCTGAGCCGCTCAACAAACACAATTTAGATTCATAACGTCTTGAGATTTCTTACATTTCTTACTGCAACTGTGTTCAGTGTAGATCCTTATGAAGAGGATTTATCATTTTTTCATTTTACCTTATATTACTTTCTGACAATAAAAGTCATGTTGCTCATAACAGGGACTGTTTGCTAGGTGGCATTTAGAGTGATTGGTGACTCGGAGCTGAGAAATGTTATGATGATCTGGATATTAAGGGTATAAAACACCTCAATGAACAGACATTAAATCGTTTATTGTATTTGCTAAATTCTGCATTAAATGAACAGAAATATCTTCTTTTCAAATCTATGTTTCTATTAGTTATATGTAAAGCCTGATATTTATCAAGATCCAAAGTGTCCAATTTAACATATATAAGCAACATTACAACAACAGGGTTAATGTCAGGTCATTTTCCCCACCGGTTTTATTTTACAATGGCAATTTTTTTTTTATGATGCCGCTTTTTAGAAGTCTTTGTTAATCAAGACAAACACGACTACAATTATATGTGATTGGCTGTTGCTTCTGGGTGTATACGAAGGCTTTCAAAAAGTTGAAGTTGAAGAAATGAAAAAGCTGCAACAATATCCAAATTACCCAGTGCTTACTGTAAATAAATCAGGAAATAATATTCATCAATACTGAGTTTTAAAATTCTATTGTGTTATTTCACAAGGTCATAATTACAGTACATATATTGTCTGTTGCTTATTTGTATGATTATTGATCTCGTAATATCTTATTTGTTTAATATTGGCCACTTTGGATCTCCCAAGAGATTACCTCGCCAGAGATAAAAGAGGTAGCATCGAACTAGACAGACTGATTGAGATTCAGAGTTAGACAGGGAAATAGTAACAGAGGTCCGGTTATGTCATCGTGCTCATGGCTGGATTGGGAAACCCTGTTTGTGAAGTGGATCACCAGATTCATGTGACCACTTTGCCTGATCGCGATTGTTGTTAGTGAAGCCAGATAAGGAAAAGATATCCTGGGTATGTTGAACTTACTTCATGTTATAGGCCCCAGAATAAATTAACCATACTTAGTGAGTATACACAGTGCATGCTTATATTTTAGTATGTGAGTTATCATAAGCCTTTATGCAATCAAATTACAATTTTAGGAACCAAACATGTTTGAGATGGCTACAGCACACGCAGTAATAGCCTATCTAATCTTGTGTTTAGGTTGTATGTATTTATGCCCAGTATGTATTCAGCCCTGTGTAATACCCTGCCTTGTCTTGGCCGTCATTCCGGAAAGCCTCGGGAAATTAGTCACTTGTGTACCCAAAACTTCCCGGCAATGTTCTTGAATACAACAGCGCCTTAGGAAACCATAGAAAATGACAACTGTTGAAAGTTTCTTTTTCACATCCTTGGAAGCAGGTCATCTACAGGGACTAGTCAACTACTACAATCTCATACCGAGAGAAATGAGAACCCACCACACTTTCTATCTACAAACACAAAGTCATGGCAGACAGATGTTAAAAAGAAAAAGAAAAAACAGGCCTCCTGCACTCAAGGTTCAACCAAGGCCACCACTGAGTAGAAATTCCACAAAAAACAGTAAGCAAGGATATTTGACAAGTGATATCTTATCAGAGTGTTGAATTATCTACTCTCAGCGCCTGATGGAAAAGGTCGAGCTCCAGCCGTGCCCTAAAACAATAAAACAACTACCAGGTGGTTAATGTTACAGAGCGGCTTCTACCTCTCTTTGGTAAACATGATGATGAAAACGGCTCTGATATCTGGGTGGGTCAGAATCATAATCAAGGGGAGCAATCACTTGAGTGGCACCCGAATGAATGCAAGAATGATTTATGTGACTCTCCTTTGTTTTCTTTTTCTATCACAGACTGACGTTTGCACAGTCACACTGAGCACAACAAAAAGCTGCTTAACATTTAAACTGCGACATATTGAAAATGTGGGAAGGGGAGAGTGTTTTGATCTAAACACGCTCAAAGGCAATGCTTACATGCTGATGTTCAGTGGGTAAAATGTTAACCATGTTCACCATCTTAGTTTAGCATGTTCATTTAATTTTATTTATATAGCACCAATTCATCACAAAGTTATCCTCATTGCACTTTTCATCTGGAGCAGGTGTAGGCTGTACTCTTTTTAATATTATTAACAGAGACCCAACAATTAGCAAATGCTAACATTTGCTAATTATCACAAAACACAACACACAGCTGAGGCTGATGGGAATGTCATTAGCTTTGCAGGTATTTGGTCATAACATTTTTGAACAAATTGATATGTTGACCTGATGATGGTGCTAGAAGAAAAGTCAGGGTGTCACTAAAGTCAACCTCATGGTGGTGCTCGTGGAAGTTATCACCGAAGTCAGTGAGGACCCTGCATGTCTGTACAAAATGTCATGGCAATCCATCCAATTGACGCAATTTTCTGATGCTACTCAGACAGGACATGTAATTAGTCGTTGATTTCGTGAGGTTTTCTTTTACCAATTGCTTTTGAATTGCAAGGCACAAACAAAAGAAGTAGGAAAACAATAACATGTAAGACCTCCAACGTTAAATGAAAGAGCATCAACGATTATGTAACAGGCTTTAAAATAGGACAAAGACAAAAACACCACAGACCTTTGGGTGAGTTTGTTTTATTTATTTATTTCCACGCGGTATTATGATGTTTTTATCGCCATCTGTCCTTTAATGTAAGGGCAAACAACACAACTGAGGGTTTGGCTGAGAAGGTTCAAAAAACCTACTGTTTAAGGTGTTGCTACAGCTACTGACCCTCAGAGTGACTGCACTTCAGTTTGTCGCCAAGCTCGTCACTAATGGAATCCACAGCCATGACCCTGTCCACTGCTGTAACACACACACACAGCGCAATGAAACCACTCTGCTGCTCCTGATGACATGCTCAGCCAACTGAGGATGCTGCTGGCAACCCACTTACGTAGTGACATGGATTTTTTCTTCTTCAGCTGCTCGTCTGTATGTGCGTTCATGTGTGTGCAACTCTATTTTGAGTGAGAACCAATTTGAATATTAGACCTTTGGAATGAGTAAATGCTTTTTCAGATTTTAATGTGAGAGTTAATAGGTGAGGAGATGAATTGTAGTCAAAGGCAGGCAGAAGATCTATGGACAGAGATATATCCATAGAGAAAGAGCTTGTGTAAGTACTGTACCGTATATTTGAGATTGACAGCAGCTGACATTAAAATGAGTAGGCACTAGTGACTGACATTTTGAACAGCACACTGAAGCATGAGGCAGAAACGTTTTCTGTCATACAGTGTTGGAAAGCTGCTTTCTCACAGTTGGGCTGCGGGTTGTATACCTAAACCTTTTTGTAACTGTCCAAAAAACAGGCCCTCTGACAGACTCTGCTCATTTTCCACGTCAACACGCCAGGTTGTCCTCAGATGTGATAATAGGAGGAGTGTCAGTTAGTTCCGTTCCTTTTCTTACTACTTATCAAACAGATAGAAAACTTAAGGTCTTCACCTCCAGCTGTTCCAGGGGAATTGATGATAGCCATTTGGAGTATGAATTGGGTGCATAATATTAACAAACATGTTCTGTTACAAAGAACATAAAACAGTCACTAAACAAAAATAAACAAGACAGAATCTAAAGCCAGGCTAGCGGCTTTGTGAAGCCCTAATAGGGGCACAGCAGTGCTTTGAGCCACATGCTAACATCAGCACGCTAACATGCTCACAAGGACAATATAACATGCTGATGTTAATCAATGGTTGGCATTTGCTAATTAGCACTAAACACAAAGTACTGCTGAGGCTGATGGTAATGTCATGGAAATCTATCCAACAGCTGTCAAGACATTTCACTCAAATCCAAAAATGTCAACCACATGGGGGCGCTAATAGGACTGCCAGGGG